GCCCTTGTCGAGCCTCCTTCAGAAGGACGTCGACTGGCGCTGGGAACAAGAGCACCAGGATGCTTTTGACAGCATCAAGGCCAGTCTCCAAGAGGCCCCTGTCCTGGCTCTGCCGGACGAGACGAAGCCGTTTAGCGTCGTCTGCGATGCCTCCGATTGCGCCATCGGGTGTGCATTGCTGCAGGACGACACGGCTGGACAGGAACGAGTCATCTCGCTCCAGTCCAGGCAGCTCAAAGCCGCCAAACGGAACTACCCTGTCCATGACAAGGAGCTCCTGGCAATGTAATATGCCCTTGTGAAGTTCCGTGTTCACCTTCTGGGCTCTAGGCCCTTTGTGATCTACACAGACCACGCGTCCTTGAGGACGGCGACTAACTCGCCTCACCTCTCCCAAAGGATGGCGAGGTGGCTGTCCTTCTTCGCGGAATACAACTTCCGCGTCGAATACAAGCCGGGCAAGCTCAACGTGCTTGCGGACGCCCTCTCTCGGCGTCCCGACTATGAGATGGCCCACATCACGCGGGTGGCAACGGATCTATATGATCGGATACGCATGGCGTATCGGGACGATGAGGCTGTCGCGCCTATCGTCAAGCTCCTCATGGCAGGAACGAGCGCGAAGTCCGACTGGCTCTCGTCGCGATAGCGCTCATGGCTCCACCGATATGAGCTGAAGGATGGCCTCCTCTATTACCGGGTGGAGCCCAATGAACCTCCACGGGTGGTCGTACCCAACGACGAGGATATGAAGCTCGACATCCTCGCGGAGGCGCACGACGCGCCCTCCAGCGGCCACTTGGGCCGCGAGAAGACCTTTCTGTCGGTCTCTCAGGCCTTCTGGTGGACCCACATGTACAAGTGGGTCGCCCGATACGTTAAGACATGTGAAACATGTCAGCGGGTCAAACCCGCAGGGCACTCCTCAGCTCCACTACAGAGCCTGCCCGCACCGGCTGACTGCTGGAAGTCGATGAGTCTTGACTTCATCTTTGGGCTTCTTGCCGACGGACACGGCAACACCGGAATTTTGGTGTTCGTGTGTCGGCTGAGCAAGATGGGACATCTTGCTCCGGTTCCCGTCACTGTTACGGGCGAACAAACCGCAAGGTTGTTCGTCGATGGCGTCTTCCGCTATCACGGTCTCCCGGAGACGATTGTCTCGGACCGAGACCCGCGGTTCACGGCTGCGTTTTGGAAAACGCTGTTCCATTTACTGGGAACTCGTCTGCAGATGTCCACTGCGGATCATCCGCAGACAGACGGCCAAACAGAGCGCGTCAATCGAGTGCTCGAGGACACTCTGCGCAGTGTGTGCGCGGCAGCGCCACGTACGTGGTCGTCGCAGCTTCCAGTTGTTGAGTTTGCGCTCAACAACGCGGTGCACGCGACCACGGGGATCACGCCGTTCTACTTGAACGGCTTCCGTCACCCCATAGTGCCTCTCACT